CCGCCGTCACCTCAGTGCCATTTGCCGTCCGGGATAAAAAGCAGGCAGTGGGTAGTCCCGGTAACTCACTTGTAGTCAGTCTCAAGTACCCAGCATGTGCCTGCTTGGGTATCGGGGCCAAACGCAACGTTTCCGAGACTCCCAACCCTGACTGTGAATGCCTTCCTGTAAGCATCGCAGCCTGCCTGAGATCAGTCACTTTGGTATGAGCCACGCGCAAGTTGGAGAGGCCCCGTTTGGGTGGTGAGTCCGCCATACCCAGACTTGCCCAAGTTAACCATTGACTAGTGTTGCTTTAGAACGCCACGAGGCGCCAGGCGATTGAGTTCGAACTGTGCGCTTGCGACAAGCTGACAATTCGAGAGGAGAGGCTGAGGATATTTTGTGTCCAACATGGAACTCCGAAAACTCCCTTTTGTCGGCATCTCCTGTTCCGAACAGGAAACATTTCTCATTTGCCAGAGGATTTCATGCCAAGTCGGCAACCTGAATCTGCAACCCAAGAGGTCCTCTTCCATCTCCATACACCACCTCCCAACCGTCAAGCCGAACGGTGTTGGCTGGCTTGAAAACTCGTCACCAAAAAACCCAGGCGTTTGGTCCAAGGCAAATTAGAACCTATGAAAGCACGCTAAAAAAAGAGAGGACGCCCATTGGGGCAATTTGGGGGGTGGAGGCAAAAACGGTCCTCGAGATGTTTACAAAGTAAGTCCGTTCCGCCCCATCGGGTGCCGCGCATGGGCCGGCAACTTGGCAACTGGCAAGCCGCTTTGGCCGGTCAAAACGGAGGGTCCCGGGAACAAATGAGCCTGAAAGGCTGATGTCACCCTCTCCAAGAATGGCAAGTGTGCGTTTTGACACAATACGTCACGGCGGCGTCACCCGAAATTACTCGGAAAGGAGATCCTCATTTTGTGGGTGGAACAACTATGTACGTCTATGTCTCAGGAGTGCATGACAACAGTGCTTGGCGGCACATAAATGTCAAATTCAATATGTATACATGGTTATTCATTTTTTATTGGTTTACATTTGTGTGTTTACTTATGTATCTATTGTGTTATCTATTTATGTATCTATCCATTATTGCTTATTGGTTTATGTATTTATTCATATAGTTGTGTACTGTTGAATTCATTCATGTATGTATTTGTCTTTTATGTATTGAATTATGTATGGATTTATTGACTTAGCTATCTTATCAATCATATGTTTTGTTAGTTGTTGATTCACCTGATATATGTTGTAATGGCTTATCTATTGGCTTTCTATGTCTGTAATTGATTATTCCATTATCAACTTGTTGTTTGTTTAGTAGCTGTATATACATACATGTATGTGTATATATATATATGTGTGTGTTGACGAATGCCCTTCTGCATAAACACCCCCCTCGATATGGACAAAGTCCGGGACAAAGTGCCGGACAAAGTGCGGGACAAACTGCTGGACAAATAGTAGCTGTCCGGCAAGTTGTCCGGGGGGTTGTCCGGAGGGTTGTCCGCGCACTTTGCCGAGATTTATGCTGCAAACCCCCCATCCCGCGAGAATAGTTTCCGAGCGGTTTCCGAGTGGTTGCCGAGCGGTGGGTTCCGAGTGGTTTTGGCGTGTTCCAAACCTGTCCAAAGACTTGTCCGGGGGTTTGTCCCGGGTTTTTTGGCTTTCCGGAGGGTTGTGCGGGGGTTTGTCCCGTTGCGCGCTTTTGGGCCCTCAAAGCTGTCCGGAGGGTTGTCCGGGGGGGGGTTGTCCGGGGAGTTGCCCCGCCGAATTTGTGCCCTCAAAGCTGTCCGGAGGGTTGTCCGGGGGGTTGTCTGGGGTTTTAAGCCCGTTTGGAGCCAAAATATGAATGTTTATGCAAAACCGCCTCTGTCAATATAAATGCCATATATGTTGAAGGCATTTATTTATTATTTCATGTTCTATTTAACTCATTCCTCCATGCGTTCATTTGTTTGTTCATTCATTGGTTCGTGCATTCATTCGTTCCTGCGTTCATTCATTTCATTCATTCATTCATTCATTCATTCATTCATTCATTCATTCATTCATTCATTCATTCATTCATCCATCCATCCATCCATCCATCCATTCATTCATTCATTCATTTGTTCCTTCCTTCCTTCCTTCCTTCCTTCCTTCCTTCCTTCCCTCCCTCCTTCCTTCCTTCCTTCAGTCAGTCATTCATTCATACATTCGTGTATGTACGTATTCATGTGTTTCCTGATTCGTTGGTTGATTGACTTATTCGTTTTCTTACTCATTTACTGACCTATTGTTATTCCTACTTATGTATGAGTTCTTTTGTATAGTTTACCTATGTGTTCTATTATTCGTTTGTTTATTCATTTGTTTACTTAAGATATATATATATATGTGTGTGCGTGTGTATATATATATATATTAGTGTTTCAGTCATGTATGTATGTAGTTATTTGTTCCATTATGCATGTGGTGCTTATGTGGCTATTTATGCATTTTATGTGTGTTGCAGTTAGTCGTTTACTTCTTGATTTGCTTATTTGTTTTTGTCTATTTGTTTATTTGTTTATTTGTTTATTTGTTTATTTGTTTATTTGGCTACTGATTATTTGATGATTTGTTTACTTACTTATTGCGGTTTTGGGCGAAGATGAAATAGCCCAGGGAAGCAAATGAGCACAAAGTGGTACACGATGTGATCAAGGCACCCGGCAACACAACTCGGGGGAGCTGAGGTTGATGACCGGGTTGAAGGACATGACAGGTGAAAGAAGAGTGTTAAATGGAAAAGGGTAACAAAGATACAGTAGAAGCCAATCAAGCCCCGGGAGATCTTGACGACCAGCCGCCCACCCCCTAGCACCAGCGCCCCGCAGCCCCGACGGTTTTGACCTCGAGGATGAAGAACGCTGCCGTGCTATGGCAAGCGCACGCGGATCCGAAACAACCCTGTCGGGAGATTAAACTTGAGCCATACAGCCATTCGGCGCGTATGCTGGTTGATAGAACAACACGTGAACAAAACACACCCCTCTCATCCGGTATCTGGACAGGAGGAAGGATGCGTGGCAGTTAAATTCACGACGAACGCGGCATCACCTGAGCCCATGAATTTGAGCCACAGTGGGTACCTGACAGGAAACAGGACACTGCGTCCGGGATGAAGTCCAAATCAGCTGGATTAGGATGATCGACATCAATGATAGCTGGAAATTAACCTGATGTTCAAGGACGGCCAGCTGTTTGCGACCAACTGATTCACATGAGTTTGGGGAAAATCCTCAATGGGGTCATCCTCGAGCTCATCAGAGTAGTCCTCAATGGGCTCATGCATGGGCTGTGAACCGAAGGGCAAATCGGGGCGGGAAGGTTGGGAAGGCTGGGATCCCCAATCAGCATCAAATAGGGATTGAATGTCCGCTCCGTGAAGGGAAGGGTAGGCGAGATCGACGGGAGCTTGTGGTTTGGAGGGACCGCAACCTCTTCTAGAGGGGGGGCCTATCCTCGATCTGGAGCACCGCGGCGCCTCCGCATCCTCATCAAAGACGACCTGGGAGAGGATCCAATCGTCCGTGACAACTCCGGGATTGGGCTCCGGAGGGAGTGGACATAACCGGCTTGTTTGGCCGGGGGCATTGGGCGCGACAGCATCACGCCGGGTGTGTGGGGGCTTCGTTGTCTGCGAAGCCAGGCCCGCGATGAGAAGCCCCAGGACACGCCATCGGAAGAACACGAGGGCGACAAACAGCAGGTAGCGGGTCACGACCCGCAACCGGGTCACCAGCCACAGCTTCTAGCTGTTACGGCTGATAACCTGCGGTTTTGGGCGAAGATGAAATAGCCCAGGGAAGCAAATGAGCACAAAGTGGTACACGATGTGATCAAGGCACCCGGCAACACAACTCGGGGGAGCTGAGGTTGATGACCGGGTTGAAGGACATGACAGGTGAAAGAAAAGGGTTCAATGGAAAAGGGTAACAAAGATACAGTAGAAGCCAATCAAGCCCAGGGAGATCTTGACGACCAGCCGCCCACCCCCTAGCACCAGCGCCCCGCAGCCCCGACGGTTTTGACCTCGAGGATGAAGAACGCTGCCGTGCTATGGCAAGCGCACGCGGATCCGAAACAACCCTGTCGGGAGATTAAACTTGAGCCATACAGCCATTCGACGCGTATGCTGGTTGATAGAACAACAATTGAACAAAACACACTTATGTAATGTAGGATTATTTACGTACTTATTTACGTACTTATTTATTCCTTGTGATTTACTCATTTACTTATGTCTGTTGTATTGTCTCTGTGTGTCTGTGTCCTGTTTATCCATCAATTCATCTGCATCAGTACTTACGCCAACTTTTGGTGGGTTGCACTTGGTTGCTGGCTTTTGCTTTGCAAAGGGGGCTTCGAAACGGAATAAACAGGAACGGCGCGCAAAGCTGTGCAACGAAGCACCACCTAAATCAAGCATATGAGTGTGTCCTGCCAGGAAACCTCCTTTTGGAATGTCGTGAATGCGAAATAAAGGCAAACCCACCAAGAGAAGGGCGCATCGCAAAATATGCCACGCTTCCCCAACCATTTGCAGTGTGTTGTCATCTTCCATTGTGGCCAAAAGCGTTTCGATTCCATGTGATAGTGAACAATGGTTGCTTCGGCCAGTCTTTCCAGTGGCTTTAGAGCATGAATCATACATGCACATAATGCGCACAAGTTCATGGACTCATCCATTCACTGCTGGTTTGTGGAGATGTCTTCGAACAATACTTCAGAAACGTAGCAAGGGAAGGCGGCTGGAGACTGGCCACAACCTTCCCAGCTACCCTTGCTCTATCTTTTCTTCATAGGGGCTTGGGGGGGAGGGGGAGGGGGAGCCCGGCATGTGTCAAAAACAAGCAACAGGCTGTCTTTTTGTGAGTTGGTCCCCCTTTTTGGGTAGTTGTAAAGGGAAACCTGCAGGAGAACCAAGTTTGGGAAGGGGTCCCCGCAAAACCCCCGCAACAAGGACACACCCACCTGGCCTGCCAGGCGCCAACGGCGCCAACGGCGCCAACGGCGCCAACGGCGCCGGCGCCGGCGATCCGGCTGCTCTCGCCGGCGCCTTCAAACGTCGAGGAGGGGAACCCGCGACGTGACTTGTCGTAAGCGGAACAACATGTCCTTCCTTCAAACAGGGGCTGAGGGTGTCGACCGCTTTAGCTATTGAATCAACAATAAAAGTCTGACAAGACCGCATGTGCACCTTGAATTGTTCTAAGTTTCCAGCATCTTTCGGTAAGGTTCACTTTTTGTTGCTGGGAAGATCTGGGAGGCTTCATTTCGACTTTGGGTTGCCTGACCTTCCAGAATGATGAGGTAAATCCCCTTTGGGCACAGCACGGGAAAGTAGCGAGCGGTGGAGTTCATCTTCTTGATTCAATGGATATACAACAGCTACATGATGTTGCTATTTACATACCAAACTCCTGTCTCCGTGAAACTTGTGGTGAAAATGAGCAAACGTAGCGTGTTCGTAATCTTACACGTGCGGCTGCTGCCAAGCACGGGGCACTGGGGCGAGTCTTCAAAGGAACTGATCGATTCATAGGACCATTCCAGGGTCAACGTTATACGGCTTCCGCGTCCTGCAGCCCCCCAAAGGTGGCCAACGAATGGCATGCCAAGTTGTCCAAGAATGGGAACCCAATTTGGCGCAGCACCTGAGTCCAATCATATTGATTTAGTTGGCACCCGCAAAACGCTGACTTTTCGGCCCAGTGAAAACTCCTCGGGACATGAGTATGGCACCCCTGGACGGGAATTGTAATGATGGTCAGACATCCCGAGTGCACGGCTCAGGGCATTCCCTATTCACCCCCAGCTGGATGGGCTAATTCCCAGATTCGCTCAGTTGAGGGCAAGTAAGTTGTTGGGACGGTGCCCCTTTAGCTACCCCTTCTGCCCTGTTGGGAGCTTCCCTAGACACACAGCCACGTTGACCAATCTTGCACACCTGTTTCTTTGAAAAAGCATCTGAGCTTCTCCGGACAACTCCGAGAAAACTGTGCGAATCCCCGCCGCCTGGACCCTGTCGAAGATGGGCCTGCATGAAATCAAGCACGATGAGTCACTGACGTGTGCGTATTGTTTGAGGCTGAGTACCCCCCTGTCTTTTTGTGACTTCAAAACGGAAACCAAAAGGAAACAGCCCATTTTAGAGGTCCGACCTTCAATCGACCCACCCGTTCTGCAAACGCAATCGACCCACCCGTTCTGCAAACGTTACTAAAACTCCAAAAGCTGCATGGACTTTTGTCATGGCTTGAGCTCGTCTTACCCCCGAAGCGGTGAGCTCGCCAAATTCATCGTGGCCCCTCTTAGAGACATCGGCGGAAGGCGCGCAGACGCTCGCCGCGCTCGCCGCGCCTCCCGACTGGAGCAACCTAGGTGGATGAACAGTGGAAAATGAGTGGGAAAGCCAAGAGACATCGGAAGGGAGAAACACAGGGAAACTACCTGGAAACTGCTAAAACACAGGAAACGCAAGAAAAAGCAAAAGAACTGCTCAACACAAGGCCAAGAGAAGGCTGACACACAACCATGACAAAACTACAAAGGACGCCTCAAGGAAACAGGTTCCATGTTGGAGAGATCCAGCCGGAACCTTCTGCGTGCCGGCCTGCCGGTGGGCGACTGCCAGCAACCCGGCAAAAGCGATCCGACGAGTCAGCAGATCCTCGAGCCATTCCTGAATAAGCCCTGAAGAAGGAATCCTTTAAGGTCCTCCAGCTTCCTCTTACCGCTTAAAACTCCAAGCCCTGGGGAAGTTAATCTTTTCCAGACGTATAGCCCATGTTACCCCCAAAAAGTTGAAAAGTTGTGTGTTTTTAAAGACGTAAGTCCTTGCAAGGCATGCTGGGTGATCCCTTGGCTCCCGTGCCTTTCAACGGCCCGCGCCATGTGCATCTTTGATTTGGCACCAGGTTTCAGTTTGAGTGCGATGGTTCGACTTGCATCTGGGGAGTCGCTGCAAATTGCTGGAGAGAGGACCCCAGCGGTTGCATATCGTCCAAAAGGGGAAATTAAAAAAAGAAACCAAGCATTCGCAGAGGCCCATGTGGCCAAGGGCCAAAACCCACATCGTGCCCCCAGCGAACATCAAAATCCCCACTAAAATAGGTTCTAAAATGGGTGGTGCACCGAAAACCCTGAAATGGGATCCCATTCGTTCTGAACCAACATGTCCGAAGCCAGGCCGCCAGGACTGGGCTGTGCTCCATCCGCATAGGCGCCAGCGGCACTGGTACGGTTGCTGAGTAGCGGGGCACCTGGGCCGATATCGACTTCAGCAACAAAAAAAAAAAAAAAACGCGCCAGGTCATCGTGCAAAACGGAAAGACGTGCAAAGGACTGAACTTCATCTGAGTCATATGCTCAAAATCCGGTATCAAAATGGTCGTAATCCCAGAGCCATGTAAAGATTTAAGAAGGCGGATATCCGCAGCTATGTATGGTTGGGATTATCCCCTACTAACCTTCATCTACCCGAATCGGTTTTGATTGTGGCTCATCTTGGTTGGTCAGAGAGGCTTGAAAATGGCTCAGTCGGCGCCGCAGAAAAGAAGTGCGGGCCAATGACCAACTTGGCCTGCTCCACGTCAGCTTTACTTGCCAAGTGGAGAAATCCTCCTGGCTTTGCCACAGCTGGAGCCATTTGCGGCAAGTCACCGGACCAACCGCCGCTCGCCTCCCCGGTGCGTGCCGGAAACCTCTAGCCAGAAGACCTATTCAGCAAGTTCTCAACGTGTTATGAGCTGACCGCTTTTCTTGGCACCCCGGAGGGTTGAGTCAAAACTCAAACCTGAAAGAAAACTTGCATTGGGCTTGTAAAAAGCCTATTGGGTGTTGGGTGATGTTTATAAAAGAAGAATGCATGCGTCACAGTTAAACTTCGGACCAGCCACTTGAACCCGTTACCCCCGACTTCCCCACCCCCTTTTCCAGGTTTCGGGGGCCCCCACAGTGGCCGTGAGGCTCTGGTGCTCCATGCATCCCCAGGGCAGGCGGCAGCAGTTGCAGCAGCAGTTGCAGTGGCAGCAGTGGCTGCAGCAGCAGTACCTCAAACCCCTCGACCCCGAACCTTCTGATGGCCGGAAGCTTGTTGCCCGATTTGACGTTCCTCGGGTCAAGGGCGAAAGCCTTTCGTAGTCCAAAGCGTGAAAGGACCACGAACCTTCCGATGGCAGGAGGGTTTTTTGTTGCCCGGCGATATATCTTTTTTCTCGGGTCAAGGACAACAACCAAAAAAAAAAACGAGACAATGAAAGCTTTGAGTAGTCTAAAGGGGGGTTCCCTGACAAGACCACGGGAAGCAAATCGCCAGCAAAATGTGGAAATACGCTTGGCTGGAAGCAGGACGGATTTAGATTTTGGCTCGGTCCCCAATTTCATGTGGAAAAGCTACCATCGGCCACCTTCCCATTGCAACAGGATCATCAAGTAGCCCTGCCTTCCAAGGTGTTCTTTAGGAAGAGCTGTTCAGAGCACAGTTGGCTTTCCAAGCGGAACCGGAGGGGAACTGACACAAAAAGACACCGTCACAAAGCCCCCCCCATTTTTTTGGTCTTTCTTGTGGTGGACACTTATATAGCTATTTGGCATCCACCTTCCTTAGCATGTGATATTGATCATGTTTGTTTGCTTTCGTTGAGCCCAAGAACCTCCAAGGAGCTGATAAGATGGTCAAAACCCCCTTCCGAAGATGCCCAAGACCAAGCAAGGGATAGTCCGTCCGCCAAAAAAGAAAGGTCGGGCTGGGACCATTTCTAACTCGCCTGCTCAAGTGTCCATTGCAGGCCCCAGTTTATAAAACTGTGTTCATGGTGGTTGATCAATATTCCTGCCCCCCAAGAGACCATAATTGACTTGTCCCGTTCACTGGGAAAAATCAAATCTTCTGTGTGGTTTCCCTCATCCCATGTAAGGGACTTTTTGATGAACCCTTAAATATGTTTAATGGGGATTTTACATCAATCCTTCATCCCTCTCCCCGACGCAGCCGGTGGAGTCGTGGCAAGGTGCTGACGCATGCAGGAACGGCAGACATGGGTGGCCTGGTGTGCTCCTGCTGAGGAGCCTCGGATTCCGTCAAATGCGCAGGCGCGAAAGGGCAGGTGTGGGTTGATCAAGATGAATGTGTCCCTTTGTTGCGGGTGCCCCATTTTTAGAAACCCCCCCCCCGGGCCACCGACTAACATGGAGGTGCACAGAATTCTGTAGAAAAACTTTCCTCTTGGAAAGGGGGTTTGTGCACTTCCACGTTAGTTGATGGGGGGTAGGTGTTAAAGGGAAACCAACAGGAAAACGACTCATGGGCGTCCCCTCAGAAAACAACACATCCATATTCCCTTCGGCCCAATTTTGACCAAGAGCAACTCTCTTTTTCGCGGTGTTCCAACCAGTCCCGTGTTTACCGGACCCTTTGATCACTTTCCATTGTATCATAACTCCTCATGCTCAAACCTCAGTCGTACAAAGAACCATTTCGGTAAGTGGCCTTCTGCCCAGCTGCCAATATCGCGGGCACTTGGATGGTAGGGCAAGCAACTTGGAAAAGCCTGTGGAGACTTTTTGCACCTCTGATTGATTTATGCCGGGCGTGCAATTCAAAAGAGGATCCTTCACTTGTCAAGGGGGAACACCTTCCGCCTCCAGGTTGGTTACTTGAGGGTTGACATTGGAGTCGGCGATTGCGCCAAAAGCGGTGCCAAGGCGCCGAGGCTGTGCGAAGCCGTCAAGGGAATCGCCATGGACTGCACCCGCCCAGCTTTTCGCTCCAGAGGCCCCGAGGGCCCCGGATGAAACCCGGGACCTCGGCTCCTCGATGCGGCTGGTTCTCTCAGGTTCTCTGCGGTCTTTGGCGATCGGACGCCTTCCAACTTGGGCCAAGCTGCACATGGAAACGCACGGCTTTCAACTGGAGTGGCTGTCCATTCAACTGAAGGGACCGGTTCAGCAGGTTTTAAACGGGCTGGAATCCTCCCAAGCCAGATGCACTCCGAAACATCAAGATTCTCTTGGTGAGGTCATCTGTTCCCAGTGTCATAACGAGCCCGAGTAGCGCGCCCGGTTTGAAGCAGAAGAAACCAGAAAGCCATCATGAGGTCGGACACTTTGACTCTGAAAGATTCCTCATTTGTCTTTTCATGTCGGAGCTGGAAGCGCAAAAAGAAGTGTTCCTGCGAACCCCGACTTTTCTCACCAAAAAAAAACGGGGAACAAAAAAGGAAACAAACCGAAAACTCGCAAAACCCGTCCAACGTCTTGGCATCCCGAGCCTGGCGCCGAACCTGGTCTCGCCGGGCCTCCGCTGCGGACCTCGGGCCGGCAGGCCTGTTGGTCAAGACACCCGAGGCGCGTTCTCCAAATAGGGATTGCCTATTCCAAGCGGAGAAAAAACAAAGATGTGTGCATTTGCCGGTTTTCAATATGTTGGTGTTCGGCTCAATGATTGCTATGCATTTGTTGGTCTACATCTCTTAACTCCATGATATAGAGAAAACAAAATGATAGTTGCAGGTGAACATGTGCTTATTATTTTGTGAAGCCCCCAAAAGGCCAGCAGTCTTCCAAATCGGAGGGAAAGTATCTGAATTTGAAACCCCAGTCATAAGTCATAAGCCCTTGGAACCGGGGAAAGGACAGAGGGCCTGGCAATGCTCGCTGGGCGTTGAGCAGCTTGAGCTCCTCGGGAAGGGCTTGAAGTCTACCTGCGTCACAGTCAAAACCTGGTATCAAAATGGTCGCAATCCCAGAGCCATGTAACGAATTAGACAGGCGGATATCCGCAACTATTTCCGGCTGGGACTGCCCCTTGCTAACCTTCATCTACCCGGGTTTTGATTTGTGGCTCACCTGGTAACTCCTGAAAAGGCGCAAAACCCAGGATCTTGCCAGAAAACCACCATCTTTGACAATTCCGATTTGTGTCGATCCCCCCCATAGTTGAGGGCCCCCAAATTAGGAATCGCCTACATAACGATATGGCTACAGCCCCCCCGCCATGACCATGGTTTGCCGCTGGTTCCTGATGTTGACAACAAATCTCCAATGGCTACGCTGTCTCACTCCCACTGCAAGCTGGCCAGGATTGTCGTTGGGTTTGCCCTTTCCACTTTAGGGAAATTTGTTTTTCGACAGGGTGGTTTCAAAAGGACAAGTGGGCGGCCGCTCCATCGAGCACGTAGTCTTACAAGCAGCTTGCCAGTATGGATGCCACTGGATCGAAAGGACAGTCAGCCCGACACTTGCCCCGGCAACCGCGAGCGAAATCTCCTCTGCTTGTGCGCAGCTCTCCGCTTGCCTAGTTCTTCTGCTGACCTCGCCAAAGACCCCTTTGAGGGCTTCGTCGGCCTTCACCGCTTGGACCCGCCGCTTTTCGCCCAAGAGCTCGCCATTCAAAGGATGTGACTCAGGGAAAATCGACCCCGGCAAGCGGCCGGGCTGGCTTCTGTTCAGAAAACACCATCCAAAAACACCTTCTTGAACAATACCCAGTTGAACGTACAGCTAGGGTCCCCGTGCGAAACGCCCGCTCGACAGTTTGTCCTAAAGAGACCCTTTGATCACTGCCACAAACCTTCGACCGCTTTCGAGGTCGCCTGATTGTCCTCAGACCTGCCAAAAGTTCAACTTTGAGTGGTTTGCATGTTCTTCCCCCACGAAGACCAACTGCAAACAACTGAAAAGCTTGGAACCGGATGGCTGGGAACTCCAAAACCGCCTCCAACACCCGACCCTCCGCCTCCGCCTCCGTGGCGCGCTCTTGGCGCATCAGCGCCGCCAGCAGCTCCTGGCGTTCCTGGGCCAGGGCCTCGAATCAAACGCGGAGTACTCCCATGTTGGTGCGCTCACGCAAAAAAAAACTCACTCTAGACTTGGCCCGTGCCAAAAACCTGCTGCTGCCCACGAAAAAGGAGGGTCCGCCGTGCCCCATATGCAGTGAAAAGACAAGTACTGGTTGAAGTGGTGCAGACGAGAAATACCGTCGAGCCAAAAAACAACGAAACTCGAAGAGTCATGGCAGCTTGTGACAGACCCTTGACATAAAGGAACCCGCTGGATCCAAAGAATTCAAGAAAAGCTCTTGGGGTATGTCTCAAACACGCTCATTACTCCTAACACGAGAGCAAAAAAGCACCCCGGACTAGGACTTCAGACTTTCCTCTGCATTTCGAAGCACCAAACTGCGCAGCTCTCTGCATGACAAATCCAGTGTCTCGCATGTTGAGGGTGACATGTCTCTAAGGCTCGGATAAATATATCTATATATATATATATATGTATGTATCTACATATGTGGATATAGTGATGTGTACATATACATATATGTATGTGTGTGTGTACACATCGCTGTCCAACCTAATTAGCTTCAATCATGCAGCTATCTAGTTCACTAGGAGTTGTTTGGTAACCTGTCGGTTCAAATCTAGGCGTTTCCGCGCCAAAGCATCCTAAACTATCTCTAGAAGCATCCGAAATCGAAGCCACTCATTCACAGGAATGTCTTACAAAATCACTCACCCTTTCCTTCGTTTGCCCAAATGTTGCTTCGCTTCTGGCTGAAAAGCAAGGAAAGCAGAGAGTCTGCGCCCCTTCTTGCCAACACTTGACCCTCACCAGAAGTGATCACTTTGGTCGCGCTGCTCATTTTCCTCACCAAAACAATCAGGGGCAAAGCACGAAGTCAGGCCCTGCACACCCCGTAGGTCAAATGAGATACATGCGGGCTGGCAGCCCCACTGGCGCCCGGGGCGCCGGGCCCGCGCCAGGCTCTCGAGCTCCAGCTTGGCCTCGCCGGCTTTGGCCTCCGCCGCCGCCACCCGCGCCTGGCACACCTGGTCCTGGCGCGGGGCCACGGCGCGGGAGAGACGTGGGCGCGGCCCCGGAGAGACGTAGAAAGACGTGGCAAGTGTGGGAAAGCTGAGAGACAATGCAAAGGAAGGGATACCAACCTTAAAACAGCCTTTCTAGGTGAGAGTTGAGGTTGGTCTTAGAAGGTAGGTATCTACATCACAGTTCTTTTTCCGGGCCTTTTGGGTTACATCAAGATGCCGATCCTTTCCACTGAAAAGGACCGGCGACGCCCGTCTCTGCAACAATTTTGCGCGACCCGCGCAGATTTGCCTCGCATCCAGACCAAAAACACGAACTCCTGGGCTAGGCACTCCCGCTCCAGGCTGCAAATGGTGTCCACGTCAGAACCGACCTCGCTGGATCAGGGAAGGCAATGGACGAAGCATGGCCCAAATTGGTTGAAACAAGTTGAATCAAGTCTGAACAAGTTCCGTTGGTCAGTTTCGCAAGCACCCCGCAGTGCGAAGAAATAATTTTGGCAAGGACTCAGAAACATTGTCATGTTTGTCTGCTGCGTACCAACTCTACCCCTGCTTTCTATCTACCTATGGCATGCCCGAAAACATGTTTGGCAAGTAGCATCCGCGAGACTGCCACAGAGTGTGCAAAAAAGACTTTGATATCCAAGACAAGCTAACAACCGTTGCTAAGGCAAGTACCAGCGGACCATGCCGCATTGGCGAGGAATTCAAAAGCCGCGCTGCAAGGCTGCTATGCCAAACTTTGGTCTGAAAGCACTGAAAGGCGTGTCCTTTTCGAAGTTATGCGGTTGGGGTCAAAAACCAGAAAAATTGCCCATACCTTTTGCGCGCGCGACTTCGATTCAAGACATGTGTTCGGTATGTGCATGGCGAGCCACTTCATCGCATCACACCCAAAACCGAGCTGAAACACCATGCTGCAGAGGAAGCCATGAAACCTGCCGTTTGCAGACTTCCAATCACCCAGCACGGCAACTGCAGTGCGCGGCGTAGAGCTTTGCATTTAGGGCCTCATGACAGAGGAAGTTGGACCCAATGGTTGAAAAGAAAAACGAAACGCAAGCATAAGTGGAAGTTGCAGTTAAGGCATGTTGCACTGCTTCTAGCTTGAACCCAAACAAGACCACCCAAAAGAACAATGCAAGTCCCAGGCGGCCGCAGTTCTTTTTACGGGATTGCTGAAAGTAGCACTGCTTCCAGGGCGGATGCGCCTGGAGCAGTCCGTGAAACTACAAGGCAGACAACGCGTGTCCTTGCAGTTGCATGCAGTGCGTGCATGGCGTGGCATGCGTGCCCACGTCTGACCAACAGACCGGGGTCTGTGGTCAGAAAAGGGCAAGCTGCGGCTCTGCCAAACCTGCATGATCCGAACCACGTAGTCCGGAGACCCTAAGCTGTTTGGAGTTCTAGTGGTCCGGAGACCGTGAGCGGTTGGAGACCAAGCGGTCCGGAGACTATGAACGGAAGTGCAGAGCGTCTGCTACTTCTTATTGCAGAGCCTTGCACAAGGCAGTGCAGGGTGGGTGGGTGGGCTTTAAATAAAACAGCAAGTTTGAGTCAAGGCTAGAAGCAAAATGGCCACCGCGTAGGTAGATTTACAACATGCCCTAAACACAAGGAAAAAGAAAACCCTAAACGTTAAGGCATGTTGCACTGCTTCTAGCTTAAACCCAAACAAGACCCCCAAAAGAACAATGCAAGTCCGAGGCGGCCGCAGTTCTTTTACCGGGATCGCAAAAAGTAGCACTGCTTCCAGGGCACGGGTGCGCCTGGAGCAGGAGGTGCGTTGACCCCCCTTCAGTGTTTAGGCAACCCGGTATAAGCAAGCCAGCTGGGCCGCCGGCCTTATCACCCCTTTAGAGTGGGGTTTGCACCTGGCAGGGTAAATGTCAGCATAACATTGCATGCGCTTGGTTGTAAGCATCCTGTCGCCCAGGGTCCGCTCTTTTTTAGTTAAAGCGCCTTGATGTTAAGCTGCTGGCTGACGCAGCCAGGAATTCTAGTTGCCAGGGCAAGGTTGGCTGTCGGGTCGCAATGCATGTTGGGGGCTTGGCTACGCACTGCTGAAGGCAGCAGTAGTAAGGAAAGGCAGCTTATAGGGACCAATTAATTTTCGTTTTTTGGCCAAAAAACCCGCCAAAACTGCATAATTTTCAACCAGCTGAACTCGTCACCAGCGATGTCACCGCTTCGTCACCGCTCCGTTTTTGGTGCAAAAAGCGCTCAAAACGGCCAACTCCGAAAAGTTCGTTTTTCGTGTCAGACGTCAAAAGTGGTGCCTGAGCCTCCAAATTCGCTCGTTTTCCGCCGAAAACCGGTTTGAGACGTTCGCCGTGCTCCGAATTCCGTTTTCTGCCCCGAAAAGCCTGCGAATTCCAGCCCGCCGAGCTCGTCACCGCTTGTCACCGCTTTGTCACCGCTCGCTTTTTGGTCGCAAAAGTGCGCAAAAGCGGCCCCAGTTCCGGGAATTCGTTCTCCGCGGGGTTTTCCGCGGTCCGACAGCCCGCCGAGGACCTGCTCGGAGTCCGGCAGCCCGCCGAGGTGGTCCGTCAGCCCGCCGAGGTGGTCCGTCAGCCCGCCGAGCTTGTCACCAGTGATGTCACCGCTCCGTCCGGCTCCGTTTTTGGTGCAAAAAGCGCTCAAAACGGTCGAGTCCGAAGAGTTCGTTTTTCCGTGTCGGACTGCAAGTGGGATGCCTAAGCCTCCAAATTCGCTCGTTTTCGGTCGAAAGCAGGCTCCAGACGGTCACCTTGCTCAGGATTCCGCTTTCGGCCCGGAAAACCGACGAATTCCAGCCCGCCGAGCTTGTCACCGTTCGTCACCGCTTTGTCACCGCTTCGTCACCGCTCTCTTTGGGGCCGAAAAGTGCGCAAAAGGCTTGGAAAAGCGAGGCGGCTCTGTGGCTTCGGTCTGAGCGAGGCCGGCTCCGCGGCTTCGGTCTAAAAGCAGAAATTCTTTCCACCAAAGTCGGAAAGTTGGAACTGGAAACAGGCACCAACCAATTTTTGGCTGATGCCCGCGTAGAGTTCAGCTACCAGATCCGACCTCGCTCCATACCGAAGTCGGAATTCCGACCTCGCTCCATACCGAAGTTGGGTTTCGTTGGTTTTCAGCCCGAAAAGCCCTGGTGCGGGCCTGGCCTGGTGCGGGCCTGGTGCGGGCCGTCGCCAGCGCAGGATTGCTCCACTCACTGTTCTCAGGATTGCTCCACTCAATCCTGTCGTGAGCACAGGATTGCCCTGATGCAGCACAAGCAGCTCAGGCTTGGGGCTGTTCTTGCCCGAGCACAGCCTTGTGATGGAGCCGGCCCTGCTGTAGAGCTCCCAGGCCTCACGCCGCCGTGATGCCCACGACGGTCCAGTCGGACTCGGGGAAGCGGGAGCGCTCGAGCGCGACCTATGGCCGCCATCATGGTTCCGCGCGGGCCTCACGATCCACGGCGCCAGCCTGAGGAAGTAGAGCGTGAGCTCCACCCTGTCCTCGTCCTCATCGTCAGGATCTGGAAGCTGACCTTGGAGAGAAGGGCAGCCGTATGGCCAGCAGGTCTTGGAGCCGTCCACCAGCAGCCGCGTGGCGTCGAAGACCTGCTGCCCAGGAAGGCGCAGCCGCAGCTCCGCGGGCGCAGTTCTGTCACAGCGGCCTCGGCGCTAGGCGCACGCGGCTCCTCCAGAGCCCCAGGCGGCCCCAGATGCGGTCAGACAGCTCGGAGATCATGGCGCAAATTGGTTTGAGCTGAATAAATTTCTTTTTTTGGAAATCCGGGATTCTGTTCAGTCTGTGCCACGTCACAGCAAGTCGGCGGTGCTGCCCTGCAGGTTCAGCGCAGTGAGGAGCTCTCTGGAGGCCTCGTCCAGCTCCTTGCGCGCCTTCTCAACCCGCTCCAAGGCAGCGAGGGTTGCGCGATTTTCTTGCTGACGAGCTGCTCCTCCACCTCGAGAGAGAGAGAGATCTGCGCCAGCGAGGCGATGTCGCTCGTGCGAATGCGGCGCTGCCTCAGGGCTTCGCGCTTCTCGCGGAGCGTCTCGCAGCTCTCCTCCTGGCGCTCCTCGGCCACCGCGGGAGCGGAGCAGCGGGCTGCGCACTGGTTAAGGCGCTTGCGAAGCTTGAGCCGAAGCTCTTGGGCATGCTTCAGCATGTCCCTCCAGTCCTGCATGTCGACCTCCTCCGCCGGGAACCTGCCGGCGACCCTGTCAGCCAACAGCCGCTCCAGCACGGGCGCTCCGCGAGTAGGCTCGTCATGCAGGCGGCTCACCTCCTCCAAAGAGGCTCCGATGCCGACGACGGCCCTCAGCAGAGGCCTCAGCTGCTCGCGGCGCTCCAGGATAGGATGTGGCTGCGGCATCGGAAGAAACTACAGCGGGCACTTGCGAGACGGTGGCTCCACACGCAGATCCGTGACCTCAAGACTCAAGCCGCGCATGCCGCTCATCAACCACAAGCTGCGCGCTCTCAGCCGAACGCGCGCGGCGCAGTGGGCCAGCACGTGCCGCCGGCGTTCCAGAAGCGCGCGTGGGCCGGCAGCTTGGCCTTCAGCATCCAATCGCCGCCACGCGATTGCCTCACAGAGGGCAGCAGCCGCTGGCGCACGGCCTCGGGCGTGAGCTTCGCGTCGAAGACGCGCTCGGACGCGGCCGCCAGCTGCTCGACCAGATCGGTCTCGGCCCGCTCCCAGAAGAGCCTCGTGCGCTCGTCGGTTGCGAAGCTCACGCTGGGGCGCTGGCCCTCGGAAAAAGCCCTGGGCTCCCATGGGATTTCCAGCGAAGCTTCGCTCTGCCAAAACAGCGGCTCCAGGCACAAGAATTTGCCACCCTTAGCATTGGAGCGCACCTCGCCCAAGTTCCACATGCTAGCCTGGCTCGTCATCCTTTTCTGTCTCCGATTAAAAAAAGATTGGTCCGAGCATGCGAAACTGCTTGAGCCGCGCCCTCGCCTGTGCGTGCTTCGTTGTGCTGGTGGTGGTTATTAAACATGCCGAGACTGCTGGAGCTGTTTTGCGGCACAAAGTCGATTGGCCGAGCCTTCGAGGCGGCAGGGTGGGAGGTCGTCTCCCTGGACATCGTGTCGAAATTTGAGCCCACGATCCTGTGCGACATCCGGAGCTGGGACTACACGCTGTTTCCGCCGGGGCACTTTGACATGGTCTGGGCCAGCCCGGTCTGCACGGAGTACAGCCGAGCTCTGACGATGCGCCCTCGACGACTCAAGGAGGGCGACGTGCTGGTGCTAGAGCCCTTGAGATCATGGCGCACTTCGACCCGCTCATGTGGGTCATCGAGAATCCGGCCACCGGGCTGCTGAAGACCCGACTCATGGAGCCTATTCTGGGTGGACGTTACCTACTGCAAGTACGGGACTCCGTACAGGAAGCAGACCCGGCTGTGGACCAACATGCGCTGGAGGCCGAGCTGAGGGCTGTGCAGGAGCGGCAGCCGGTGCGATGTGTGGGAAGACGGGAGGCATCTGAGGGGCGCCCAAGGGGGGCCTCGACTCATGGGGGGCCAGCGCGAGAGGGTCAGAGGGCAGTCGCGCGAGCTGCTTTACAGCATTCCTACGGCGCTGCGCGAGGAGATTGCGAGCGCGGCGGCAGAGCTTGCGGATCGGCTGAGCACCCCGGACTGAAGCGAGGATCATTTCTTATAAGATTTTTTTATTCTCAGGATCACCGGGTTGGCTCAGACTGGTAGCTGAACTCTACGCGGGCATCAACCAAAAATTGGTTGGTGCCTGTCTCCAGTTCCAAGGCCAAAAAAAAC